TCTCTCTCTCTCTCTCTCTCCCTCGAGCATTCAGCTTGCCTTTCATGAGCTTTTGGCCTTTAATAAACTGACAACACGTCTTTTCGACTACTTCAGAACAAGAAAAAGTCGCTTATGCCGGAGACGCCCGACCACACGCTGTAACTTACCGGCTCCGAAATCGGCCTCAGTTTCCCGTTGACGGAGAGGACGCGGAAGCGGACCACCTGTCCCGGCTTGTACACGTACTTGTCTGTCTGAATGAAGACATGATCTTCAGGCGCGTTGTTCGAGCTGAAACGAGCGGCATTCTTCTGTGTTGCCAATGCTTTAATAATAACAAATTGTATTGCGGGCGAATGTATTTTGGTTCAATGTTTTAGACTTAATAATCGAATCCGGTACTTAAGTGCGCACACATCACGTTTGTGAGCCGGGAAGGCGGACATCAGAGTACGGCTACCATGCAAACCTAGCTTCACCTTCAAGACAACACTTGCATTTAACGACAAACATCAAACACGCATGCTACACGATCGTCCATTGGTCACACACTATACACAGATGAACTCGTTATACGCTGTTACCAGCATTATGGTACTCTCCAGCCGTGTATACACCCGGCTGTGGTGCCAGATCTTCCTTTCAAATGAAATGTTGAATTTTCGCACCTTGTGTCACAAGAGGTTCTGTCTTAAGAAAAAGCCTTGTTTGTAGATTAACACGTGCACGGGTGGGGGTCAAATTTTTCCCACCGAGGGTTTTCCTAAATGGTTTCCAAACGGCACGACGTAGCCCTGCCAGATTTGGACTGGCTGTAGACATCTGAATAGTGGATTGTGTGGTATCCAAAAACTGGATGTACCTTGTAAAGCCGCTGACCTGAGGTAGGCCAATGTCAGATTATGAATTCAGCGAAGTCAATTTCAAGGCAATCGCTTAACATGATGAAATAACGGAGTGCTAGACAAAGCCATGCATCTCTGAGATAACTTCATAGGCAACATGACAATTGTATGACCAAATTAAATTGACCTAGGGTCAGATATGAAGGTCACACTAAGGCCAAAACCAATCTGTTTTATTACTCCAGGGCTTGCTGTTTGGTGTAGTTTTTAGTACATGATATGAACCGCATTAGACATCTTGCAGGGACTTCTTATAGGTCGGAATAGGTCACTGACCCAACACGACCCATGTCAATGTTTCGTTTTTAGGAACATACTGCCCAGCTTAATCGTTGCCGGTTATTTAAATGTATAACCTAAAGCAGTTTTCTGTGTTTAGGGTCACCATAAAATTCGGATCAAGCAGTGTCACTGACCTTGAATGGGCACGCGATCTTTTGCTTAGAACAGGTATTTGAGTTCTGGGGACACTTTGGATAGCAACTTTGAAATTGACGTTGTTTTGACCTTACTTGACCCAAATGTCACAACCTAGGAGACTGAAACTTTGACTTAATTTAGTTCATGTACAGGCCAAGACATCCTGTAAATTTGGTGGTCCTAGCTCTCTTAGTTCCTGAGATCTCAGGGGGCAAACTGACCCCTCACCCGAGCGAAGGTTTTCCAACCGGCCGTCCGGGAGCGTATTCAAGTGCATCAAACAACACATCGGCGTAGCTGTAGCCCTATCATTTCTGCAATATACACGCTGATTTTTGACGAACGGAGAAACACGTGCCAAATCATCCTTGGTAGGCCAAGACTTTACACCAAAAATGTGTTTCGCAGTGTTCATAAAGAACAATATGTTTAAGTATCCACATATGCACTAAACAATTTGTACGACGCCTTCAGTACACTGTAGTGACTAGACACTTTCTTTGACTTACAAGACAGAGATGTACTGATTTCCCGAGATGGTGTAGTTGACGGCGGATGGGTAAGTAACTTCCAGACCCATCCACATGGTGAAATCGTCAAGCTCTGGTGTTTGAACCTCAAAGCATGTTTCCTTGGACCCACCTGAAATACGGCATCGTGTTAGCGACACGTGTATCTGAACACCGTAGGGTGGATGGGGGCTTAACGAAGCCATGCTTGCGCGAGGAGCCGCCGGTTTCGCTCCAAGACGCTGAGCCGACTGATGGGTGGCGTGGCCAGGAAGCGCGCTCATGGAGACAGATGGTGTGGCTGGCCTCGCCGTCACCGGATGGGTACATTCAGATCGGTCAGTGGTGACGATGTCAAGCACTTTGTCCACTCGCCGAGAGAGCGAGCAGCGACCGATGATCTCCGGTCGGGCTCGTGCACTGCTGTGGTGTTATGTCTCCAGTTACAAGAAACAGGCATATGCACACGAGGCATTCCTTGCCAACACGCCGGCACTATCAACACGTGTGTTTACTGACTTTGAGCGTCAATGCATACCCTGGGGGTGCAGTGGCATATCTGAAGCTGTGAACAGTCGTTCATTATGATAATCAGAGTGCCCAAAAACATCAAGCACGCTTTCTGACTTGGTGGCCTGATTAGAGTGGTTGAGGGCGCTACATGTGCAGTGTCTCCCAATATAACATTATCCTTTCGCATGTCTCTAAGACGTTACAAGGGCGACCAAAGCTCTTCAACCCCTGTTATGACTTTGAGTGCTGCCTATCATAATGTTGTATTAATGCCGGCGAACGGATTACAATAGTTGCCAGGCGTTAAGAGATTGGCAGAGCATTTGCTAAAGGCGTTGATATACAGCCCGGTGTTGTGCCCGACACAAATATATCAGGCCGAATGCCACAAAGATAAGATCTTCACAGAAACTCTCATTAGTTACTTTGGTTTTCAGCTTTATTCTTGAACTGTGAGTGTGCACCGTGCACCCAGAAATGCCCTTTAATCAAGAAGGCATATTGAGAAAGCTCGACACGGCCGTAACTAGACTTCTCTCGCTGTTGAGACCAGTGCAAACGGCATCGGTACCCAGCTCAGACTAGATAGTGAGTGACAAGCTGTGGCCTCACACGTGGTCACGAGGTCCCTGGGCCGCCACACCCCGGCTCCGTACTTACCCGCCACGCCCGACACCTGCTGGGTGTGCTGTGCGAACGTCGGGCTACTCTCACTTCTCCTGAACGTCAGCGTCAGGTCGCCGGTCTCGGGCACGTCGAACAGGGTCAGACACACTCGCTCAGGCGAGCCAGCGACGAAGGCTTTGGGCGCTGTGAACAGGTACCGGCTGCAACAGCGGACCAACGCTACTGTCAAAGCTGGAACAGCTGGCCAAGCTACTGTTGACATAGACGGGAGCGCTGATCTCCAAAAACCGCATGACGTCATGCACGATGCGTTTGGTGCAATCCTTGCGTTCCATTGGGCAGTTTCACAGTATTGTATGAGCAAAATAAAGAAACGGGTTCCCACCTAACAGACTGCATTGATTTATTGCACGTATTGCATTTTAAGGTTAGTGATCACAACCTTGGTATTTCATTTTGCCAAATGTTGGGATAACCCTTTTGTAGCAGCTCATGCGTGTAAAATATCATTTCACCTAGTCGTTTTATCATCAGGGAAAACATGTTTGAACGAGGTCCAAAATATAATATTAACTTACGTGCAAGCAGTTAGGATGGGCAAATGATAGGACTGGAATGTGTTGAAACAGTTTCGGAAGGTGGTTGTTGCCGTGCGCGGAGGCTATGCAGCCCTCGAAACTAGCACTTGCTGATAATGGCAATGGTGGTGAAATGATACGGTTCTGATTCGTTCGAAACGCGTTCTGCCCTCAACTTTGATCTCCGGCAGAAATTGCAGCAGCGACCTCCATGCTGGAAAAATATTTTACCGGCCTTGTGCGGCATTATTCACAAAGAGCTTTCAATAACGATACAGTTATTAGGGTTTCATTTCCGCACCACTTTGTCTAAACTTATTCCGAACCCCGAACGTTTTACTGCTAACCATGTGCCTTCATGCAATGCGCTTGGCAAACGAAAAGTTTTGCGTCATTCGCTTTGGCCGCTCGCCGACAACCTATGCGAGTTCGGCAGACATTTCACAAAATATCTTTGTTCAACCCAGACGGCATGGTCGTTGCACTTGCGTTACAAAACCAAACAACTATAACTATAATGCATGCAATATGCGATACCAAAACAAGAAAAACCCTCTACTTGAACAAAATTTTAGTATGATGCACTGTCTTCCATTAAACGCATTATTGACCAATCTTCATTGTGTATGAATGTGATTATTTTCGCAGTTTTTTTGCATTGCTCTGTTGAACATCACAAAGTCAAACTTGGACGTGCTCAGCTCAACGAATGCTGTCATATGCGAGTCAGAAATCCTTTTTTGCGATTCTTTACGATTCGGTTCTTCACAAAGGATCACCTGGTAAAGTAACCACGTTCGATATCCCTCATCGCATCATTGTACATAGCTGCTACCGTGATGGCCTGAAAGAGGCTGTGTTCTTAATCTTGTGGCACCCGCCTTAGGTTTCAGGGCAGGCCCACTGTCTGGCCCGATCCACGAAGGCCAGTTGGTTGCTAGTCAGAGAAGGTCACCCTGACACGGCGCAGCCGCCCTGTTGACATTGCACGGCACGAGGAAATGCCTCAGTCGCCGTTTTGGCCCTCATGGTCTGCAGACCACTTGCATACCACATGCAAAAATATCCGCTGAATCTGAACCACTCTATGTGGGTGGATTGGGAGTGTGGTCACTGCGTTCGGCTCTGAATGCGTTCTGAGCTCAAAGGCACCTTTCCATATCACCTCAGAGCTTCCACACAAAGAATCGCACAGCGCACCACCTGTGCGCTGTACGAGTCATTCGATAGGCAATATCTTTTGCTTTGATAATTCATTTATGCCAGACTCCTAAGCCCGGAAAGGCCACCGACATCGCCTGCCTAACGCCCGTTTTGTTACCAAACGGAAATAACGCGAGTGAAGTCGCATGCACCGCATGCAAGAATGCTGATTAGACCAAGACCCATGGCCATTCTTCGTCAGATCCATTCGGAGAATTCCATGGGGATGTGCCGATCTCTTTTCCGCACACCGACCGGCCGGGCCTCGAGGTGTCGGGCCTCAGGAACGTCTTTGGTCCTTCGTGTGCTGGCGAACTACTTTCAGGAATCTGCATGCTCTGCATACTAAAAATTATCAGCCAAAAAGTAACCAACGGGGAGCCCGGGCGAGCACGTGCGGCCCCACGCGGACTCGCGCGCTCGCCGTCGCGTCTGCTGGATTCCGATGCTCGGCAAGGCCCCCCCTCCCCCCCCCCTTTCCTCCTGGCCCCATCCCCTCCGACCGGAGGACGATGGTCTCCACCGCAGCCGTCTGGTCGGTATCAGCGCTGCGGATGGGCAAGCAACAAACACCCGCTCCACCGCCGACCGGGCTGTGGTGGAGCGCTGGTGCTGGCCTGCCATTTATTGGGCACCGTTTAATGGATCAGGTTCCAGTTACACTGGCGACATTATTACGAGTAACAACACAGGCTCGGTGAGTTGGGCCAACCAGATTGGGCTCTTATGGCATAAGCTAACCGTCAAAAGGTCGGCCAGCTAAGCTTTTCCATGAGCTTGTAATCTATGCAACGTCTGATCGCAGCCCTCAGCAATGATTAGCGCAGCTATGATGTGCGTGCTGTAGCATTTCCAAAGTATTGGCCAGCAAGTCTTTAGGTAGCGCTGTCGTGCATTATTCCATGCCAGCAGATATTAATTTCTCGACAGACTCTATAAGCATGGAAAATATACCCCGATTTAGTTAAAAACAAGGGTGGAAAACAAGTGCAGACATCGCCAAGACGAACACTCTGACCGAGCTGAAGACGGGCAAACGCATTGGCGAGTCTCGCGCAAAATATCAGGTACTCTCGCGCGCAAACTAGCAGGTACCATCGCGCGCAAACCGCGCACCTTCCAGTTTGGGGGCGTTTTTATCAACCGAAGTCAGGTGCTTCGACCGGAAAGGATGAACACGTGAAACCAACGGTTTTATGTGCACGTCTTAAGCCAATGTACAGGCTACGAATCACATATCAATCTCAAAACTGTTCTCCACACAGGCGCGCCAGTGATCGACCCAAGAAACGGGCAGTAACACCTTTTTCCAGACAGGTCGTGAATAAGATTCACTGTGGTTTAAATCGAGAGGGATCCGGCCATATCAACTACGCGCGCTAAGCATGATTCTGACTTGTATCAGCCAAAAACAGCCGTGCTTGAGTAATGATTTGACCCCAACTTCCAAAACCAGAAGTTATTCCAAATTTTACGAATTGCATCGATTAAAATAGCCAGGCCTTGGTAGCTAAAAACTAGCCAAAACACACTGATGGCAATACATTTTTGCACGTAAGTTATACATCAGTGAGTCTTTTTCTGCTAAGCTCATCGAGGAGAAACGTTTCAACGCATTAGTTGGTATGAATTTCCGAAGGGGACGGAGTCCATGCGCCTTTTGGGACATCCTCAGCGTGGTGATAACACTCATATTAGTCGCATCTCACGCGTATGACGCCGCAAAAGCGCATACTAGTTAGTGGGTTCATCTGGTGTCGCCGCAATTTTGTGCTGTTTATTGAGTAATGATGGACCGCCAGCTCTGCTGTCTTGGTATTATCATAGCTGTATTCTTACCCTTGAACCGTGTTCACTATTAGGGCGGTTCAAGACGCACTGTTTTGGCGCGGGTGCGCGCTGCAAGGGTTCGTAGAGCATTCAGAGAAGCTGCCAGAGCATATTCAAGTACAGCAGCACAGCGATATGTGAAATGAGGAGCAGCGAGAGACGATGGTCTGATTTGGATGCACATCGGCAGCGTGGCATAATACGGCTTTGTGTGCACGTAGTACGAACGCATTCGCCAGCTTGTGCTCCATGCTCGTAAGCGTGGCCAACATCATGTGCTGTGAGGAGTCCCCTATTGCGGTGCGTTCACCGTTCGCGTCTCTCGCCCAGGTGTCATGTCAGGTGCGTAGTACCGTACAATGCGCGCGACAAGTCCCCTACTTAGAGCGCGCTATCATATACTCAACAAGCGGTTCCCCAAGTGCAGTTGGCACGAGGCCTTCTTCCACGCGGTCAGTGCAGCTGAAACGTTTCCACACGCGTAGGAACGGCTGCTGAAGCCTCCTAAAAACTTCCACAAAAATGCCTAAAAAAACTCCGACGTATCACACTTAGTTCAGAAAATTACACGTGTAGTATTGAGCCCATCCCAATACACAGGAAAAAATGCCCACTGGTTCACTTATCTTGTGCATCGCTGAAAATATTTAGATCTCTGCTCACTTGTAGCAATAGTGCATATCTACAGACGGCAGTGTGGTGTCACCTTATCCAGCCAAGCAAGTATTGTTCCTGTCGTGATAAGGCAGCAAAGCGCATGCTGATTTGTACCCCAGATCACAGGATGGATTCTATGACAGCCCGAAAAAGCATGGCATGGAATGCTGTGAATGAATCAGTTTAAATGCACATACAAAAATGGCAAACTTTCCTCGAGGCTTGAACCCGCGCAAATATTTTGCTACACTCCTGTCCAATTGTCCTGCTCTGATGATCGGCCCCGAGGATGGAAGAAAGACATAGAGGGTTCGCTTACCGCCCGGCAGCCACTACACCACACAGGAGAAGCAGCCGGAGAGGCGTCATTGCCGCCCTCCTGCGACGACGGGGAGCCGTCCAGTGACGCTGCAGCGCCGCCGTCGCCTTGTTACCTCGCCAGACGGTAGGTGGCACTGGATAAGGGCGACCTCCGTCAATCTAGCAGCAGATTGATGTCCAATTGCCAGTTGGATATTGCGGGATCTCCGGGATGTCCGGGATATCCGATTCCGGAATATCTAACTGGTGATTTTCGGAATCAGCGTGTCGAGAAGGTCATGCACACCAAATTTGGAGGCAATCGTGACGCCTCTTGATATCCGAGTGCCAATTGAATGTAAATCTGCTGCTAGGTTGACGGACGTCCCAAGGGCAGTGATTTAAGGAATCAGCGTATTAAGAAGCCCTTGTTCACCGAATTTGGAGGCAATCGAGACGCCCCGGAATATCACATTGGGATGTTACGCGTCATATAACTCGGGAATTACGCAAAATTACACCCCAGAGGCGGTGATTTTCGGAATCAGCGTGTCGAGAAGGTCATGCACACCAAATTTGGAGGCGATCGTGACGCCCCAGAATATCCAACTGGCAACTGGATATCAAGCTGCTGCTAGATTGACGGACGTTAAGGGCGGGGATACACCGGCGCAGCGCGTGTTCGGTATTTATGGCGTTGTTACAAGACCGCCTGGCACCGCTCGCACGGTGACGTCAGTGGGCAGTGCGCAGCAGGATGTGCCAACGGGACAGCAGGAAAACCCGGGTGGCGTCTCTATTCATATACCAAAAAACATCCTCCGGCCTGTGCTTCCAGGAGACGAATTACCACAATCTCAACGTCAATAAAGCCGCGCCGTCCAGACATATCCAAGCTCTTAGTATGTGTACATTAACGCCCACCTTTGACCTGACCTTTCACGTCCTTATCCGTGAGCGTGTTTATGCAGTTTGGTCCCCAGCTGCAAGCACCAGTACATGGATGGCACGGCCAACATTGAAGCCAGAGAGGCATCCGGCTGAAGGCGGAGCCTAAATTCAACCACGGCGTTGATCATTATATCGATTTAGTGGTAAAGTCGGGATAGATTCGACCCATTCCTGTCCTTTGCGTTGGCGATTATATCGATTTAGTGGTAAGGTGGGGATTGATTTGACCCATTCCTGTCCTCTGAACCCGGCTTTAGAAGATATTTTCTCTGCTCTAGAGCTGGTTTCTACTGCGTAAGTTGGCCAAGAATCTTGCTATTTCTGCGTTGTTTTCGTTGCGTTTTCTTTGACCTTTTCGTTTGCGTTTTTTTCACTCTAAACGCAACTTTCTGAGGTGCTGCCCCTCCGCCTCCCGCCCGCCCACCAAACATGGGTTACGCGGCAAGAGGAAGGGCATCACTGTCACGGACTCAAAATCGGCCTAAGTCATTGATGCTGACCTGGATGTCAACAGCATTGATGCTCCCCCGGATGTCGTCGACGGTATTGATACTCCCCCGGATGTCGTCGACGGTATTGATGCTCCCCCAGATGTCGTCGACGGTAGCGATGCTTACCTGGATGTCGTCGACGGTAGCGATACTTACCTGGATGTCGGCGACGGTAGTGATGTTCACCTGGATGTCGTCGACGGTATTGATGTTCCCCGGATGTCGTCGACGGTATTGATACTCTCCTGGATGTCATTGACGGTATTGATACTCCCCTGGATGTCATCGACGGTAGTGATGTTCCCCTGGATGTCGTCGACGGTAGCGATGCTTACCTGGATGTCGTCGACGGTAGCGATACTCCCCTGGATTTCGTCGACGGTAGCGATGCTTACCTGGATGTCGGCGACGGTAGTGATGTTCACCTGGATGTTATAGACGGTAGTGATGTTCATCTGGGTGTCGTCGACGGTGGCGATGCTTACCTTGATGTCGACGATGCTAGTGTCGCTAGCCCTGACGTGATTCCTATTTCAGCCCATGACTCCAGCACCCTCAGACCTCTCCTCTGGATCCCGCACCCCCGCCGTGGTGGCGTGACGTGATTCAACTGGACGTCATGCAGAAGCACAGGCAGAGGACATGTGCCCCGTGTACGTGTTTCGAAGAGCCCGTAGGGCTTCTCGGGACCTACGATTAACGGCCCAAAGACCGGCCGAGGTCTTATTCGGGGGCCCGGCCCGAAGGACTGAGCACGTCAATACCATCCACAGGGCCAACCGCGTTGATCAGGGGCCCGCTGGGTCAATAAGGGCCCACATGTCGGTCAGGCACCACCAATAACGCATAGTCGGCTACGCGTCTGCATGGGCCTGTTGGCCAACTCGCTAAGCAGGGACGAAGCGAGAGCCAGAAATTTAGATTGGTCGGGACCCAGTGCCTATCAGGACCCCACAGCCTAATACGGAGTCCTGTGTTGGTAAGGTACCCCGAGTCGGCCAGAGACAGTGTTCAAGCAGGCCCGAATGGCTGGTCGGATCTTATTCAGGGATATCAGACCACGGGGACGGGCCCTCAGATGACAGACAAAGGGCCTTTGCGCCGATCGCGGACTCTCTGAGTCCATATGACCCTATATGTCGGTCAGGCACCGCCTAATACCCAATCAGGTGCAAAGCCACGGCACGGCGATTTACACTGCTCGGGGGCACCTGTATGTGCCAGGGGACCGCAGTGCCTAACACAGGGTCCTGTGTTCGCTAGGAGCCCCGAACCAACCAAGGTCAGTGTTTGATAAGGCCCGAAGAGAGGCCCGGGCAGCCCATTGGAACTGACGATCGATGGCTCGCTTGGAGAAGATAAGAACCCGAAGGACTGGGTGTAGGCCACAAAAAGAGTTGCGACCGATAGTGTCCTGACCTGAAATATCAGTCGACATCCTCCTGGACAGTTTGTATGTTCCCTGAGAAAATGCGGGTCCCAAGGGGGCCATGGTCTCCAGTGGTCATGTGCCGGCTTATGGCCCGGAGTCGGTCAAGGCTTTATTTGAGGAAGTCCAAAGAGGGGAGGAAGGGTCCCTCACCACCAAAGATCAACGACCCGATTAGAGAGCTGAAGAGCCTAAAGCGCTCTCTGTAGGTCGCATTAAGGACCCCCGCAGATAGGACCGTGATGACAAACATCAGTGAGAGGGTCTTTTGTGCCAGTTGGGACCCCTGGACCAGATAATCCCTCTGTTTCGGCCAGAGATCACCAACATCGAACAGTCAGCTCCGTGCCGGTCTAAGCTCATGGGGCCCATTTCCCAAGCAGGGACGGGACCGAGCCTGTGATTTGCATTGCTCGGAGTCCCTGCAGCAATGCAGGGCTCCTGTATCGACCAGGGGCCCAGTGCCTAACAGGAACAGGAGGTTCTATATCAATAAGGGGCCTCGATTCGGTCGGAGGAACATTTGTTCGATAGAGACGATGCTGGGAGCCGAGTGACAGAGAACCTCTTGCGCCGGTCGGGCGCTCTGACAATAAAAGGAAACATTGTAACTTATGATAAGTGTTCACGTTGAGACACTTTGAAGGTTCTGCGCCGGTCAGCGTCCCTAGTGCCGAACGGTGGGCTCTCCAATCCGACTCCAGCATGGGCTTGTTACGATGTTGTTGCGCCATTAAGGGTCCCTACGTCGATCCGGGACCGTCTGCGCGAATCAGAAGGCCTCCAGCGTCAGGAAAGGACAAATGTGATATGGTGTATTCCTCTAAGGGCCTCTGGATCGACCAGGGGGTCCCACCCCGTGTCGCCAGAGTGGCAGCCGGAAGACACCCCGCGGTGGAGCGAAATGGACCTCCAGCCCCTGACCGAGACCACTAATATGTTCCCTAGTGTCCTACTCGCGCGCAGCTCCACCGCACGCGTTCTCACTGACAGGCCAGCACGTATGTAACAGATTACATGCATACAACATACGAGCTGCAAACGAGTCATTTCGCCTCAGCGGGACGAAAAACAAACTTTATCGAAATGAGGATTATATTTTACACTTCATCGGCCTTCGGATGAAAATCTTAACAAGTAATCCACTGAAATACGTCGTTGGTGTCAGAATGCATTTAAGGTACCTTTTTGAGACTTGCGAAACATTGTGTGTGCTTTTTTGGGAGGGAGGGGGGGGGGGTAACAACAAAGGTGAGTTTTCGCCGTAACAAATCTGCGCGTTCCTCTTGACATATTTGGTTGGATACTGGCATGCCCAAAACAAATACGATTGTTAAAGTTCGAGATGTACGAAATGGCGATGTTTATTCAAAGTTTCGCCAACGTTATCAGCTGCCGCGTAATCCCTGGTATCTCAGGCCCGAATGCAAGATAATTTTACATTCCTGCGGTGCATAATATCTGGTGTCCCTTGGCTGTGTAGTCTGTGGAGCCCATATTCTTCATGGTTCGCTAAAGCCACCTCGACAGAATTCAAGGTTTTAGAGAAGAGTTCGAACTTTTGAATTTTGTTTACTCCATAACTATCAAAAAACACTAACTATCAAAAGACGACTATGCTGATTTCGCTGCACGTAAACTAACGATGGTTAGCCATTCGAGTCGTGTTATCATGCCTGTCTTCGTTGGTATTTATTACCTAAATCTAACTCGTTTTGCTAGTCTTCACCAAAGTTCTAGCTCAGAATGGTAGGAATCGTGGCTCATCTGATCACTACGGGTTAATGCGTGCAGCTGGTGTGCCTATCTGGGGCGGGGGGGGGGGGGGGGCAAGGGTCCTCCTAGCACCCATTGCGTGTCGTCCTGTCCCCCGCCCTTACTGTCGGTGGTGACGTGACACCGCCGTCCCACAACCCGCGCGGCAAACGTTCAATCGTGAACATGACCCTTGCGACTGCTCACGTCTAGGCTGGAGCTGAGGTCAAAGATTACTCGCATCGGGCTTTTAACATCTTGTTGTTGGGGTTTCCTTAGGTGCGGTTGCTGTGGGCACCTCGGTGTTGTGACCTGACCTGCCACAAGCTGTCAGGGACAACAACCAGCAGCCGAGGCTGGTGGCCTGGGTGGAAGCCGTTTACCGTGCGGTCGGAGGAGATGACTGTGGTGGAGGTGCAGAGGATAGTGGCGGCCGTTCTGCTGCTGGCGGTGCCATTTACATTATTCGCTCAGCCACTGGGTCTGGTCGAGCGTCACCTGCCACCCGTCTGCCTGCAACACTTCGTGCTGCAGGTGCACGATTGTGGTGTTGTGCCCAGGTCGTGCTCGGTTTTCTCGGCTCGTGCCCAGGTCGTGCTTGGCTCGGCTGGTTCGTGCTCGGTTCGGAAGTGCTAATGTTCCCTTGTAATGCACATTTCTGCAGTCTGAGCGGCAGTTTAATTTGTATGGAATATTGTGCCGTGAGTGGTAGGTAACCTCTTCAGATCTCAGGTCCCCTAAGCAAAGAAGATTCACCAAGTGACATAGCCAGTCAGCAGTATTTTCAGCGAGATGTTGTCATAACCCGCCACAGTAAATGATAGTAAAGCATATATTATCGAATGCCGTCGAACAAAATGTGAACATTACGTCAAACTCGCGCGGGACCAGCATGTGCCAGTACCCAGCGGCGGGACATTGCACCGCGACAGTGTAGCCTCCCATGAACGATGCAAAACACGCCCATCAGCACACGTGACAGTCGCGTGGCTACGGTGCCCGACGCAGCGAAAGCCTGTAGCCCCGCGGGTCATCACCGGCAGACCCTCGGGTCATCACCAGCAGACCCTCGGGTCATCACCGGCAGCCCCTCGGGTCATTACCGGCAGTCCCTCGCGTCATCACCGACAGCCCCGCGGGTCATCACCGGCAGCCCCGCGGGTCATCACCGGCAGCCCCGCGGGTCATCACCGGCAGCCCCGCGGGTCATCACCGGCAGCCCCGCGGGTCATCACCGGCAGCCCCGCGGGTCATCACCGGCAGCCCCGCGGGTCATCATCGGCAGCCCCTCGCGTCATCACCGGCAGCCCCGCGGGTCATTACCGGCAGCCCCGCGGGTCATCACCGGCAGCCTGTCGAGCTTTACTGGCAGCCCCTTTCGCGAGCCAGCTCCACCTGACGCTTGCGGAGCTGCACGGTGCCAGGAGCCGCCGCCAGCACGTGCTCGTCGGTCAGCGGCAACAGCGACTGCTCCAGCTGGTCCTCCGTCATGCCGAACACGTACAGCGGCCTCCCTGCACACACACAGTGGGTAGCGACGGAGCCACGTTAACATAGAGCGACCGCCGACACCCGTAAAACGAATTGCCAGATGGGAACAGGGCCGCACAGGGACGGAAGTAACAGCTTAGACGGGTGCGCCGTAAGACCACGCCGTCAACCACCAGGATTGTCACGCCGGCAGAGTCAAACATCTCACATGCAGCCTGCCACAAATCGGGCGACAGCACACGCGTTCGGTGAAAACAGATCACATAGCCGGCGACAGCACACGCGGTGAGTGAAGACAGCTCACACAGCCGGCGACAGCACACGCGGTCGGTGAAGGCAGCTCACACAGCCGGCGAAAGCGGTGGCGGCCGAGTGCGCCGCACGCGGGCTTAGTAGCCACTGGTGCGAGACAGCTCACCCGTGTCAAGGACGCAGTCGCAACCGTCAGTCATGGCGATTGGCTGCTGGACCCCGAGCCGCGTGGGCTTGCCCTCCAGAGCCCAGGAGGAGCGGTAATGGAGCGTGCCCTCCTCTGTCAGCGTCGCCACCAGCACCCGCCCGTACAGGCAGAGGTAGTGGCTGAAGTCTTCCTTGCGCAGCCTGTCCAGGCACATCGGACAGACGGGCCCTGCGGCGGAGCAGGCCACGACGTGTGAGCGACGCCGCAGCGGCGGCTCAGTGCGGTGTGAGCCAGTGCCAGAGTCGAGGACCGGGCGCCGCTCAGCGCCGGAAGGTGCGGTGCTTGAGCGCGGGTGACGTCGCTGGCAGTTAGTGGCGTCGAAGTAGTGATATAGCCGCTTCCCGAGTGGCGTGCGACGGGCAAAGTAGTGGGATGGGACACGGACAGAATAACATGTCGTCGGCTGGGGATAATGCTGCGGAACCCATGCGATTCAGTAATGACTTTGTTGACTACTGAAATCCGCGATATTCCAAAACGCATGCTTAGAACGTGAGTAGATAGTTTGCACCCTGACGATGCCACCACTTGCTCCCTAGTACCTGTCACACACTGAAGTCAGTCCAGGTGGCCGATTTTACCCTGCTATTTCACCGCTGGCTCCTCGCCACCACATTAATGACATGCTTCACGTCTCTCACCGTCGTCGTCCTGGTCGTCCTTCCTCTCCTCGTCCTCTCGGCCGTCGGCCGCCGGTGTGTCCTGCTCTGCACCTCTGAAGCCGAGGGGCGGCGCCGCCAGACGAGGGGCCACGCCCTCCGGGCCCTCCGGCAGCTGCGGTCTGTCGTCCCGTAGGAAGAAGCCGCGGAACTCGGACCCGGCTGACAATGGACCGGGTTGGCTGTGAGGCACGAGCGTCGACTGCACGCACCGACAGGAGAGCTCGTCCGGACCGGGTTGCCGTGTACACGCGGTGACCAAGACACTGGAGCTGTCGACTGCCTTCGTCATCACCGTTTTGAGAAGTCTCGTCTAGCGGCCGCACTCATGACCGATACGCTGCGAAGCAGACAGCTCGTGCAACAGACAGTGAGAGCTTTTAGGCGAGAAACAGCGTGCGGCGGGCGGCAGCGGAAGCGGTGCCGACCAACTCACCGCTCAGATGATAGCTGCTCGCCGGCAACCCGGACTGCCACGGCTTGATCAGCTCCGGTAATAACTGCCTGTTCGGCGAACACGCCTCCAGCCACATTCCAGATCCCAATGTGCACGCAAGCGGCGTGCGATGTTCATCTTTACCGTACTTGGCCATCCCCGGTCTACGTGGACGACACTCGTCCACCAGATTCACGAGAACAAACAGCCAGCTTGCCCGGTATTACAGTGGTCCTCATTTTCTAGCACGCGAATCCACATAAACCGGCAGAGAAACATGCGGGACTATCGGCGCAGGCTGATAGGACATGGCCGTATTAATAGCCGTCATGCTGAAGTAGACCCCATGCAACGAAGGCGACGGGCTGAGCAATGTAGCTTGTCACGCACAAAGATCAACGCCAGGCGCGTGCCTGCTTCAAGATAACCCAGTGAGAGCATTGCCAGAGGGGCCAGCCTGGCGCAGACCTACCACTTGCTCAGCCTCGCACAAAACATCGCCGCATTCAACGTGTAAAGGCCTCCAGGCAGCCGGCGGCACTGCACTCTGCCGCAGCATAGTCGACAATAAAGTGCTACTGACAGCCATTGTTGCATTTATTGTCGATGTTACAGCGAGTAAACGTCTCCGGCTATATATCAATCGACCGGGTTGTGCACAAAGTTCACTGAAAAGCGTGATTCAGCACACGGCAGAGATGCCGAGTGAAGTGACAGCTCAAAGCGCAAGCAAAGCGTAGCGGCTCAACAGCTGATAACGCGATATCCAGCAGCGTGATTGAGGTAACTTCACTCGGCTCAGTCTCATCTATATCCTTCATGGTATGATTACCAAAGAACAAACCGGACAAAACATTTACAAACAGAACATCGTGGCGACCGGCCGGCATTGTAAGGAGTCAAAAGCTCGTGTCCATTCAAAGACGTGTGGTGCTTGGGTGGTAACCAATAGCGTCCATAACCGTTCTTAGCACCAAACCGCGGTCACACTGACAGGGACGCGCGAGACGCGGCTAGAAACCCTCGATGCCATCGATGTCTCATTAATGACACAACCCATATGAAAAAAATTACAGAAGACTGCTGTCTGTGTCTTCCCCAATAATCACAAGCGTCCTCAGTCCGTGTCGTTGGCAGACAGCGCATCCTACTGAGCTCAGCAGGGCAGTGCGGCACAGGCAGCGTTACCTCCTTGCTGATCGTTCTCGAACACAGGCAGTGGAACCGGGTCAATGGGCCACGGTAGAACTGTGTCGCAGTTGACGTCCAGGGCGTACGACTGAAGGGACCCAAAAGCAATTCAGTTGCGCCATACAGTATCGTCGGACGACAGAGCACACTTTCGATCAACCAACTTCGACAGCCGACCGCAGAAAGAAGAGCAGAGCCATGATTCTATGCTCGTAAATACGTCTCACTGTGCAATTATTCGGACCACACGCGTAGAGAAAATATATTCAGGTGATATGTGGCTAGATGAAAGGTTTTGATTTATCAGTCTGAAAACAAACTGCATAGTTCTAACGTGTTTTGCATAGGTTGCAGCCTGATGCAGATTGATGCCGTTTGCGTAAGGTTTTTTTTTTCTCACCGTGCTCCGGGCGAACTCCGTCTGGTAATAATCATATACGCTGGCCACCGCGCTTTTGGCATCTTCCACCTCCTGCTCCCGCTGTACGATGATGCTGAAACAGCGCTCCTTTCCATCCAGCGAGTCGAAGTAGAAGACCACCTTGTTGTTGTTGACCTCCCAGCGCTTCAGACCTGAATGGAGCATGTTTCCGGTCGTCAGAAAACATGATAAGCCTCCGAAACTGTAGGTAACTCCTACAGCTTATCTAAAGAGCCTGGCAACTCAGATCTAAACCCCATGTCATGTTGTTTCATGTGTCAATAATTGCTAGACAAAGAATTTATTCCTAGTGTTGGCAGAACTAATTCAAATTAGACGACCTGCTCGTTAAAAACCGACTACTCAGATTTGACGACCTGCTAGTGGAAATAGACAACTCAGATCAGACAATCTGCTTGTTAAAACAGACCACTCTTATTCGACGAACTGCTGGTGAAAACCGAAAACCCAGATCTAGCGACCTGTCTGTGAAAACAGGCAATTGTGGCAACGGCAAGACATATGTCTACTATATGCCACCAAATGCAACTTACCCAACTCGACGTTCTGCTTGAGGTCATTCAGACTTCCCTTGTTGGGAATGAACCCGCTGACCATGTCCAACTCGACCACAGCCATATTGGTTTCGCTATCCTCCTTCAGGTAGCTGACGCAGATGTCTTAAAGAGCACAACATTGTTCTGTTATCATGACAACCAGGCAGGCATGCTGTCATGTGTAAAGCCTGTTGAGCGAGAGATGCGTTCGAGCACTTTTTAATTGGATTAGGCACTGCAGTGTCTTCTGATGCTTTCACAGAACAGGAACACTGCAAGCTGGTCAAGATCCTCCTCCCATGACATTCCCTCGCATCGCACTACAGATTTAAGATCAAACCGAGCAGAGGCTGACGAGTGGTCTGATGACCAGGTGAGACAGGAGACAGCTAGAGGAGTCCCTAGGCGCGTCACTCGTCTCACCTATGGTATGCTTCAGACACTCCCGCTGGTTCATTTTGGGCTTGGCAGCCACGTTGATCGTCAGTGCGTCGTTTGGACCGGCTGTATACACGTTGTATTTCAACGAAGCCTGGCGAAACAACCGGCTGTGTTACTTGTCATGCGCGTGGTGGACGTACGTCGTCATACATTGCTGGAGCTAATTTGTATGGTGCAGCAGAAAAGGGCATGTCTCGTGGTTCGCATTCCCCGCGTGTTATCATTGAACTGAAGGTCATTTACTCAGGCTCTCGGTGAATCACATCAGCCGTCGAACAGCTGACGCGATAACGCTCTAAAGAACACGGTGTTCAGCCCTCACACAGTTTAGTGACATACATTCTCAGCAGATGCATTCGAGGCTGGCTCATGCTGTACCTCCTCACTGAAAATGGACAACTGGTGATCCGGAAGAAGGGGCATAGTTTCGCAACATTAGTTGAGGGGGAGGCGCAGGCCACCCCCCCCCCCTTTTCAACGGAAAAGCAAACTACGCCCCTGCATGGACGCCTTACAGCCTATTATCGGCACCAACGGACCGGAATGAGGACACGTCTGGCACCTAGACCGCACGGCCCGCGTTGCATTCGATGCCGACTCTGATGTGAACTAGGGTACATCTGGCACCATCTGAACTTCCCGTGCGTGTGACCCGCTTTAGTGCACATCATTTATCATAAAGTTCCTACTGCGGGCATGCCAGCAGCTGCGAGTATGCTAGCACAACCCGGCAGCACAGATCCTCTTCCTTCCTCTCCCATTCTTCTCTCTCCCTCTTTCTCTCTCTCTCTCTCTCTCTCTCTCTCTCTCTCTCTCTCTCTCTCTCTCTCTCTCTCTCTCTCTCTCTCTCTCTCTCTCTCTCTCTCTCTCTCTCTCTCTCTCTCTCTCTCTCTCTCTCTCTCTCTCTCTCTCTCTCTCTCTCTCTCTCTCTCTCTCTCTCTCTCTCTCTCTCTCTCTCTCTATCTCTCTCTCTCTCTCCCTCTCTCGCTCTCTCTCTCTCTCTCTCTCCGCTCTCGCTCTCTCTCGCTCTCTCTCTCTCTCGCTCTCTTTCTCTCTCGCTGTCTCTTTCTCCCTCGCTTCTCTCATCCTTCTCGTCCCATCGTAATTCTCCCGGCGCAGCTGAACACTGACCTGACCTGGGCGTAACCAGTATCATCGGGGCCTCACTTTAGTTTGCCAGAGGTGCTCCTCCACTGACCTGCACCAGGGCGCAGCCGGCGCCACCTCGACCTTACCATAGTTTACCAAGCAGGACTTTACTTCTGACCCTTACAAAGGCGCAGCCGGCACCACCCCGACCTTACCGTGGTTTAACACGGTTGCTCCACCACTGACCTGCACCAGGGCGCAGCCGGTGCCCTGTGCTCTGACTTGGACGTGACCTGGCAGCAGTGTGACGTCACGAGTTTGCATCAGTAGCAGACTGTCCGCCGTTACGCTGATGACGTCATTCAGCGAGCCGTCATCGGAGACGTGTACTCGCAGGTCGGCGCTGCTCGAGCGAGGCAGGTCGGCCGAGAAGGCGGCCAGTGCCTCCAGCGCCAGCACCGTATCCTGCCACGACCGCCCGCCAGGTGAGCAGCGCACAGGACATTGGAGAACCCATTCGATGAGAGTGAGCCGGACACAGGGGTACGACAGACCCCTCCAAGGGTAGTGAGCACAACACATGGGTATGACAGTCCCCTCCCTGGGAGTGAGCAGGACACACAGGTAAGGCAGAACCCTCCGAGGGGTAAACAAGCCATACAGATACAATAGACTTATCCGTGGGGAGTGAACAAACCACACAGGTACGACAGGCCCCTCCAAGGGTAGTGAGCAGAACACATCGGTATGACACTCCCCTCCCTGGGAGTGAGCAGGACACACAGGTACGGCAGACCCCTCCGTCGCGAGTGAACAGGACAAACAGGTACAACAGGCCCTTCTGAGGGGGGAAGGGGCAAATAAGCCACACATGTACGACAGACAGCAGGCAATTTGTGGCAGTGTCGCGACCAGCTAGTCCGGCAGACACATGACGTCCACCCCAGTGATTTCTATGACCTGCGTGGACACGAAGCCGCCGCGACTGTTGCGCTGCTGGGTGATCCAGCGCACGGCACCCAGCGCATCGCTGAAGTGTTCGCTGCTGTCGTCACCGGCTTTCTCCAGCAGCTTCATCGTCAGAATGTTATAGGCACCCATCTCCACGCTGAGCGCCCGATTCTCGTCAGACCCTGGTGACATACGCCACGATAAGGTTTTGAAAGTACGCTGGTTAACCGCTGTTCAGGATAGACCAGGAATTGAGGAAGGTGTGTTCAGTACTGTACATTCAGTAAAATGCGGCCGAATGGGGTCATATTTCATATTTGCTCACTGCAGAGTTTCGTCAAAACGCACGAAGGAGTACAGAACACACACAGCTGTGCACACTCAGCCTTCACCAACGCATTCTGCAAGTATATTGGGACAATTGTGAAAGCACAGCAGCTATTACAAGCTGATTAACTAGCCTTCGGACGTCTACAGCACCGCTCCCTCCAGCGAGTGTTACTGTTGTGCTGGTGCGGCGGGATGACTCTCACCTTCGTTGCGCCAGTACACCAGACCCTCCTCCCTGGTGGCGCGGCTCTTGAGCTCTGTCAGACCCAACCGCGCCTCGTCCAGGCGGCCGGCCACGGCGCGCGCGTGCGTCAGCAGCGTCAGCGTGTACAGGTCGGAGCTGATGTCCTGGGAAAGGCACATGGCGACGGATGAGCGGCGACCAACATGACATTCCTCGGACGGTGAGCGGTGGCTGACATGGCATTCCACGGAGGGTGAGCGACGGCCAATACGGTCCCGGCAGTAGCTAACCCACGGACGGTGAGCGGCCGCCAACACGGTCTCGGAGGTAGCTATCCCACGGACAGTGAGCGGTGTCCAACACGGTCCCGGCGGTAGCTAACCCACGGACGGTGAGCGGCGGCTAGCACGGTCCTGGTGGTAGCTAACCCACGGACGGTGAGAGGTGTCCAACACGGTCTAGGCGGTAGCTACCCCACAGCGCTAAGTCGCTCACGTTGTTTTGCATACAAAGCAACAGGTGTAATAAGAACTAATGGAATGTGTCCATGCACAGGGTGGTAGACATAAAATGTGAGCTGTTTAAACCGATGTTGTGGTGCTTAATCGGACGCCTCACTACATAGTGCGGTTTGGTATAGTGCATTCGTCCATCGGGAACACAGCCACAACCAGACACCGCCAGAGAACGGGGAGAGGAGGCAGGCTGCCCTTCTTCCCCACTGTAAGCAAAGCATGTTTTACTAAGCACCATAGAGAACTCTTTCATTTATTTTATTGTGAGCACTCTGGGAGCTCCGACCCTATCCAAACACCTCTCCCTATTGAAGAATTTCTTGCTGTGCCCTGACTGTAACGGTGTAAGTTACTTCAGCTATGGGTCTGTTTATCGCTTTCTGCACATAACATCCGTTTCTGAAACATTTTTGTCTGGTATTCCGTTGTATGGTGAGGAAAAAAGGAGCGAGTATTATTGTTACAGCAGGTGAAAGCCATTATTACTCTGGCCACAAGAAAATTTCCTGGTTAATTTCATGCAACAGTCGTTCTCGGCTGTTCTTAGGCTCGTCCCGCGGACCCTACGGGCTTGTTGCGGGGTACCAAGCCAAAGGCTAGATCATGAGGATGTAAGGTAAACCAAATGTGGAATATTACGTTTGTATGTACGAACTGAGTGGCTGAGCACGGTACCTAGTGGCAATACCTCAAAAAGGTTTTGGAACCATGTAGGCCAAAGCCACTAAAATAAGATGAGGCATCAAAAGCAAAGCTCTAGCATGTATCGCACAGTGAACAGATGCCGACCTACACAAATAACCAACGCGGTTGCCGCGCTCTTCAAACTCATTAGCTCAAAACTCAATTGCCGACCTACCTAGAGCCAATCACGTCGCCCAACACTTTTCCAGATACTTCCTACAGAAATCTGCCTATCTGGCTGCCTGCCAGATACTTTTGCAGAAACAACCTCCAGCGATCGCACGTGTCTCTGAGCCGTTGGCTGACCTGTGTCAGGCAGCGGAAGGCGCCGTGGACGGTGTTCTCGCCCAGCTCGACCCCCGACTGCAGCAGCGCGATGGCGATGTAGGCTGTCAGCGCCTGCTGGCCGCCGGACCCAACGCCACCCTGAAACACGTCAGCCTTGCTGGTCTCCGCAGGCATCGGCTGGGTCCACACAGGGAACAACGGCTATCACGTGAGGATCGGGGCAAACGGCACTGGACTTCGCCATTGGCGGACGGGTCAGAGGACAACCGGCCAAGGGTGACAGCATGCAAACACGGCTGCACAAGTATGAGTGGCGAGTATGCAACACGAGAAGGCACACATGGATCCCTCCGTCAATCAGTCGATGTAGTGCGCCCCACCTTCCCCCCAGATCCAGCGGTAAGTACATGTGCTTTTCAATGCGCTCAGTTGTAGGTACTTGGTTAAAGGTAGTTTGAAGGCGAACATATGACAGCGTGCCACGGGGGCAAGGGAGTCAATACAGACAGATACAAGATATTACCTTCATTTCTTTGTGGAGGACCGTCCCCACAGATGGGAAGCAGCCGCTACCCAATTGATGGGATTCGATCCACCGCACGCTTCCTTCCAGGTCAGTCTCGTCGATGAAAATAAACTTCTTCGCGTCACCGAACGACTTGATGACAAAGCCGGTCAGCCACATGGAGCCTGAGTCGTCCGACTTGCCAAATGCCGAGTAGGATTTGTCCTCGTGACGGTAGCCCAGCTCGCGCTGGTAGCCTGGAGCGAGACACGGGTCACGAAGGTCACGGTAACGAGCGCGCTGGAAGTCTCACGCGCTGGATGTCTCACCAGTTTTGGGCTCAGCTGTCCATGAAGGTCTCCTAGAAGGGGCTTTATCTTAAGGAAATAGGTGTGCCATTTAATAATCTTACTGCTCTGGTGGTGGCGAACTACCATGAGCAGTTTAAATCAGAAGACTTGTTCGGTTGCTTGGTGCAAAATACCAAGAAACGATAGCTTGGTTCTGACACATGCTGATCATTTGGGTTCACAATTTGGTATGTGAATCTCATACTAGTTAGGACTTCAGTAATAAACGTTACATAGAACGGGATAAAACAACTTCAGGGCACGACGCTGACTATGATGTGTCAACTTTACTAATTTGTACCGGACATCTGTGTGCTAGTGCAATATTATTCCCAACCTGATCACCAAGTACCTGATTTCATAAATCTGGCAAGTTTATCCTTGATTTGCTCAGTCAGTTGACCAACTGCAGTCAAATACTTCATGACGTGAATGTTGGGAGGCGAAGAGCACCATGTTCTGTTCGCCGCAACCGGTTGGCTGCCGTACCAGCGACTCCAGGTTCTGAGAAGTACAGAAAGCTTGAACATATCGGCTTTGGCTTAAATTGGCACAGTTAACGCATCCATGATAATGAATGGAATCACATTAATGAACCGTAAACGAAAGTGGCTAAAGTAAAAGTGGGACCGTAGCCATACTATACGCAGCTGGGAGGATAACGATGTGCCAACAGAGAAGGCCATGACTTCTCCAACAGATTACTCGACAACTACTTCAGCCTCACGCGGATACTATTACTGTCGAAGCACATCCAGCGAACATCTGTCCATTGAGTATAGTGCGCAAGTGACGTACGTCAATGCTGGGGTCCCAGCAGGTCTCCGACGACGGGCGATCTGAGCCCGCTCGGAGTCGGGCACCAGGTCGGCCGGCAGAGAAGCAGCGGCCAGTCAACCTCCGTCTATTCGGTCCCGCCCGACAGGTCGGCACCCTCCGCTGCCGGCGCACGGGTCGGGTCAGGGAAGCGGTACCCAAACAGGGCCGAGCCCTACTGCGGCACAGGACACGTCCGTAGCCATGCGGCGTGGACGATGAAAGCCGCGTCGCGATCAAGGAAACAACGCCAACCACGGCTGAGGCTACGTGCGTCCCCAACACCGCCAGCAACGCCGCGCCCTCCCAACCGTCACCTAGCCTGCAGCTACACCGGCACCGGCCTTAGTCGTCCCGTTAACATCCGCTTTGGCAGCGCACTCACGGCTGATGCAATGAAGAAGGAGTGGATGACTTCACGCTCGAAGCCCTCCGGCTCCACCAGCAATCGGCCTGGTTCACGGGTCCCTGCGCAGATGTTTCGTAGTGTTGGCTGCATGCTATCCACGACAAAATGGGATATCGGTTGAGAGAGTAGTGACGCCTTCAGATTTCATTGAATCAAAAAATGAAGGCATTTTGATTTTTTTCAGCAAATATCTGTATGTCATTAGAGGACGTGCATGCAATAGGAAACACTACCGGTTCATTTGCAACTTTTAACACCCACGCAAGCTAGGGTGTCTGGGCTCATTTCTCGGTTACGCACACCTGCCGTGTTTAAAGTTGACTCACACGGCGTTCGCCACGCCCCGTACTCCCGCAACGCGTAACGCCACACACCTGAAGTAGGGCACCACCTCTGACCCACACTCGGCGGGGAAGTCGGAGTACACTTCAGCTACCACGGTGATGTTAACGTCGCCGAGCTGGCCGGGCCGCAGCCGGTACGGCACGACCTCGGCCACGCCGGTCGACACGCACGAGGTCACCACCGGCGCCGAGAGCGTCTCGAACTCGTCCGACGCCACCAGTGTCAGCTTGACCTGCGGCCACAGGCGCCGGTGCATGTTTAGCGTCCACAGGGCCGGTGGGATATCGCGTGGAGCCAGTAGTGTCCGAGCGGACAGCTAGTAAGCTAGCGTTGGATTCAGTCTTATCCAGCATGTGGCGTGTGGTGACGCCGAGCACCGACAGAGATAACACGAGCGAGCAAGATTGCACGAGCGAAACAGAGCGCTCAGGAGAGCAGCGAGGACCCACCGGCAGCGCCTCTTCGTTGTAGTTGAGCACCGAGACCTTGAGCACGAGCGTCTCGCCGCGTTTCACCGAGTAGGGCAGCGTGTAGCTGACGAAGAACGGCTGGAAGCTGGTGAGGGAGGCCGACGGCGCCACGCCAAGGCCGGCCATCTCTGAGCTGCACACGGCTCCGCCTACCCACTCGGTGATGGTGTCCGGTACTTTCTGTGTCAGCGTCACCGAGCCGTCGTCCCTGCCCGGTGCGGAGGTGGCCGGCTGTGACACTAGCCAGGCGTCCGAGGAACGGCACATAATCGTAGCTTGATGGTGTAACTGTCCTAGTTCCTGCATGTGGCATGGTGAGTTTTAATGCGAACATGACTAACGGCACAGAATCGTGACTTGATGGTGTAGCTGTCCTAGTTCCTGCATGCGGCATGGTGAGCTTTAATGCTGAAAAGGCAAGGAATTGTGACTTGATGGTGTAACTCTGTCCTAGTTCCTGCATGTGGCATGGTGAGTTATAATGCCGAAAACGACCGACGCTTAAGGTATAAGAATGTGTTGTGTAAAGGGGAGTATCAAGAAATTGGTGCTCTGTATGATGATAGTGCTCAAAATATGCGACTTATTACCTGTCATGTGTGATCTGACCATGCTCATGACGTATGCTAGTTAATGCATATTTCTGGTTACATTTTGAAAATAAAAACGCATCATGCCCCCCTCCTTAAAACAAAATTATGATTTTGTTTTGGTTGCATTATCGTGTAAGCTGTTGAGGCTTTCAACTAATCGGTTAATGTGCATCCAACATACTACTGGCTGGTTACATGTACATGTGAGCATACTCAAACGACATGAAACGATAGGTAATCAGGACAGCTTTGAACAAACCCGTGAACAGCTTCAGAGTACGAGGATCAACGGTTCAATTCCACATTCAACGCAGCCTCGTCACAGTCAGTGCGCCCATGTTCGTCCACTGACCCGACCGTGTGGAGATCGAACAGCCACGTCTCGGGGAAGTAGGTGCGAACCACGTCAGGCACCTCGGACGGAGGCGGCTCCGGGGCCGATCCGGGAGGCGAATCGAGCACCGGCGTCGGGCCTCCTGGTAACCGGAGGAACGTTAGCACGTCACCTCAGCGCTTCTAATACATTATTCTTTCCTTCCTAGATGTTAGCTTAAAAATGCATTGCTTTGTTTTCCGGACTGAACTTAGCGACAGTTAAGTGAGTTCGCAATACATTAGATAGCTAGACGAGTCGCGAGGGAGTCATTGATCATGACCGTCATCATCATCGATGGTTAACGGCGGCTTGACGCCCCCCGTCGGCTCAAGGCAAGGCACCGTTTGGTGACAGAAAGGCAGCGGCGACGCCAAAACACTACAACTTGTAACTTT